CAGTTATTGCCAAGTTCCATGTTCTTCTCGGTCTTTCTCTGTATCTTCTTCGATTTGATGTCCATACCCAAACTTTTTGTGGAAGTCTATCCGATTTCAACCTTCTCATATGTCCATACCATTTTAGTTGTTTCGTTTCGATCGTCTCGTTCAAGGTGTTTGCACTTTCATTTTATTTCTTAGTTCATCATTTCTTTACTTTGTCTAACAGAGAAAGTTTACAACATATTCGTCAGAACATCATTTCTGTTCCTTTAATTTTGACTTTCATATTTATAGGAGGATTATAGGAGGCATATATGCGGCTCTTTGTCTTCATTAAAATAATTGAGTTCCATAGTACTGGATTCAACTGGCTATTTTTCCTCTTATATTTTTATTTTTCACATCCTGTTCGACTCTACCATCTGCTTTTAGTGTGACTCCCAAATACTTATATTGTGTAGTAATTATTTAATTATTCTTATACTAGTTTCTAAATCATGGGGCATACTTCCCATCACCATGTATTCAGTCTTTTGTACATTTATTTCCATTCCCCATTTTCCTAGTCTATAACCACTTTGCTCTTCTGAGTCTGACTTTTGCATTTCAATTCAATTCTTTAGCACACGTCCATACAGTCTAACCAAAGTCAAACTTATCCCTCGATAATTATTACAATCGTTTTACAGCCTTTCTTGTAAATTGCATTTATATAGGCTAAATTTCATATTTCAGGAATTTTATCTCCTTTTAAAATGCCATTGAATATTTCAGCAATTAATTCCCAACCTGCAATAGGATAACGTTTAACCAGCTCTGTGGATATTCCTCCAGGTCCAGATACATAATTATTTTTCATGTTTCTTAGCACTTTTTTACCTATTTCAAAGTCACATCTTGTGAGATCGAATTTACGTGCAGTGGTTTATAATTTATTCCCAAGAAATTTAGTTTTATTTTCTGTCAAAAAAATTTCATAGTATTTTTACCATCTTTCAATACCAATTGGGTATTTTAAATGCCATTCTTGGGTTTTATTCAATTTCATGGAATGTAATATTTTCCACACCGCTCTGCATTTGGTGTTGTATAGTCAATTTCTCTAAAAACATGTCCTTTTCCGCAACACTTGCATCGTCTGTTGGAACATAAATTACTATAATAAAAACATTGTGTCTTCTTAGTACAAGATCGAGACATGCTATTCTCTCATCAATTGCCTCCCAGCTATAATATGTTTCTCTAATCTTTTATGTACAGCTATAGACACTCCTTCTCTTGCTCGCATTTCCTTTCCCACTCTACTAGAAAAGTGAACATAATTTTCTTTCCTTTCATTTCTATTTCCCTTCTTTTTTGTTTCACTCAACACTATGATATTCATGTTAAACACCTCTATTACGTTAAAAAATTCATTTACTTTAGCGCTTAAACCTTTTACATTCCAGCATCCACAATTCATAGACTATTTTTCTTGATTTTGTCAACGTCATGAGTTGATCCGAAGCTCTTATAAATATATCGAGATTTTGATCTGCTTTTTATATATTCCGAGTATGAGGGTGCTGGCCTCATGCCTCAACCCGCTTCCAGGAGGACTGTGTAATTTTCTTTTAGGGTTTCCTTCCTATATATTGAGTGTCTTCTAGGACTCTTAGAGTTCAATCTACCCCTATTTGAAGCACTTCTGCTTCTGAACAGAAAAAAGGCATGGGAAGGATTCACCTAAGGTTAGAAAACGCAGAGCTAATAAATCCACCCATTGGCTCCCGGGGTTCAGGAAAAGATTTTAGGTAAGAAGGAAATCTTACAGTTACGGACAGCGGTCAGCCACTCCTTTCTAGGTAGGAGAAACCAAGCTAATTGCTGCATTCCCCACCCACTGGTAAGGGCGTGCAGGGCGATGGGGTCGCTACATCCCTACGCATAAAACACATTAAACTTATTAAATTAATAAAACTATTGGAAAATATATTTCTTAGTCTTAAGGCATAATTCATATTAGTTATGTGGACGAAGGCCCTAAGATTCGAATTTAACTTACTATTGTCGAATGATGCAATCTCTTGGTAAGGTTTCTACGCGTTGAGGTGGAATGCCCAGATAGTATCCAAATTTTCTGTTCTTGAACATTAGCTTTCACCACATGAGGTACGCCAAAGTTTGTGTACTATGTAGAAAAATAATGTAGATTACTAGAATCAATCAGCGATGGAACCCCTCTGCGGTACATTGAAGCCCTTCACGACGTCTTTGCCAGACTTGAATTACTTGATTTTGTCAAACTTTCAAGTTCAGGTGATGCAATAAAATAATCTAGACAATGCTACTCTCTCGTACAACTGTCTTCATACGCACATTAATTTAGATTCTAGATTATTTAAAATCATGTATACTATTTGCTCTTCTAAAATAAGAGCTGTCAAATCGCAGTTGTATAAATATTGAAGAATTTATGACATAAATATATGTAAATACACATAAATATCCTGCATTACTAAACGTTGAGTTGAATAATTCTGATGAAGTGGAAAATTTCTGAATGACTCTTGTAGAAATCATCTTTAACTAAGAGGATGGATGATAATCGATGGATTGAAGGATTTCAAGAGTTTTCTTTCAATTAATAAAAGTACAATCTGCATATTCGCTCTTCTCCTTGTGTTTATCGTTCATAATTACTATTTTTTTAAACTTATTCTTGCTTGGCCATTGTCCCTCTGCACTCGCATTAGATAAATACATTCATTTAATTTATATACAAGAATCATGTGAGAACAGAACAAACAGAATAACCAAAAATGTAGTTTTAGTTATAAGACAAAACAGTAGTTAATAATTGGAAAAGATTAGTCAGTTTACGTCAATGGGGGTCGAAATATCTTGTTAACTTTCTTTTTAATCGTTTGCGATGAGGATTTTGCTTACCTATGTGAAAGAGAATAGCCGAAAGCATCTTTAAAATTTTGTAATATAATTTTACGGATAAGAGGGGAAATGTACGGTGATTGGTATAATGCCAAGTTCATTCTGTAACTGCGTATTCGGAATGTACCAGGGAGCTTTTATCGTTCATAATTAATAATTTATTTTTAAAGCAGAAACACTTCTTTCTATGGATGCTGATGCTGGTGAACCTGATATTGGGCATATTAATTTTGCTAAACGGAAAATTTTCTTAAACCCATATCAAACTTTTTCTTCTTTCAAACACTTTACTATTTTCCATGAGGATTTCTTTTGGTGTTACAACTCCATTAAAAACAATCAGTAATTTTTTTAAATCACGGTGAATTAATAATATTTGAATGCAAGTTAACAAAAACAATTCTCAGAAATCTTTTTCGTTTCAAAATTCTTTACAAACAAAAGCTAAAATGTCCATTAAATCAATATATATCTATCAAATGTAAGTGAACCAAATAGTTTCAGCTAAACTACAATATCTTAAGTTTCTCCACAGCGCACGCACGACAGCTAAAAAATTAAAAACACTAACAAATCCAGGAAAAGCATTCAGGAATTAGGGCGCACACAAAAACAAGACACAATTTTACTCACAAGCTCATACTACGTTTAAATGGCGCGTTCCACGACGTATGGCCTAGAACAGCGGATATTCGACGAAAACAGCCATAACTGGAGTGTTTATCGCCGTGCAAAGCAATACAGCACGAAGCGACCGGATGAGTCACTGTGAGCGGCGGCGAGCTACCAATTCAATGCTCTAATATGGGCGAATTCTTTGCCTACTTCACGTTGTTTCAAGACTATTACTCAGCTGTTTTTTTCTTTTTTTTTCTAGCCGGCAGCCGGTTTATGTCGCATTTTCGACCACATACTAGACACCAATACACTTGCGGGATCCTCTGATCTGGGGCCACCTGAAGGCGAGGCCTTCCCGACAACACATACATGAAAGACAATGGACGAACAACCATGCCCAAGGCGGGACTCGAACCCGAGACCCTTCGAACCGAAGCGCTGAGTCGGTACACGTTCTTAGCCACCTCGATCTTCCAAGACGGCTGTTTTTTACAATTTTTATTACAATATAGGCAGATTGTTATTAATATTCAATTCTTCTCGAAAAATACATAATTTTTATAATTTTCTTTGGCGCAAATATCGATCGGCGATCGAACGCTTCACCATTGCATTATGATAACAGAAAACCCTCTAATATTGTTTCCTGCGTAAAAATCTTGACAGAATTCATCATTTGGAGAAAAAAAGAGGACAGAAAATGAAGGAGAAGAAAAAGAAGTGAAACTGAGATTAACATATAGTAATGTTACTTGAGGTGATCCAGAAATTTAAATAAAAATATTAATGCTTTCTGCTAGTATGTTCCTTGCAACCTTGTAAGTTACTTACATTACAGAGTTACATATTCATTACTGTATAAAATGTATATTTTATTAAATTTAATAACATTAATAATAATAATAAACTAAATATGAAATAAATTACATAATTTTAAATGAATCCCCCTATTCTGTATAACTATTATAAAAAATTAAGGCGCAATTATCTGACTCTACAGCATTTCACGACACTATTTTTTATCATTCTATTTCACAAGAGAAGTCTTCGATAAATGAACAAGATAAAAGAACAAGGTAAATGAACAAAATAAATGAACAAAATAAATGAATTATGATGTGATTACCAAGTAGTTTATTACTAAAAAGGAAAGTAAAAATAATAAAAACAGAATTTTTGTAAAGATAGAGAAACATTTTATTATTAGACGTTGTACAAGCTATGTTCATTAATATAACATTCAACTTAATAATTAATTAAGTTTTTAAACTTTTAAATGCCTAGAAAAAAGGATCCACAATTTCTTGCAAGGTACGTATTTCATACTTTTTTTGCTTGGTTTGTAAAACATTTTTCTCTAATATATGTTCTGTCCTCGCATTAATTTGAGATCCCCCTCTCTTGATATAGAGCTACCATGTCTGATGCAAATATTTTTTCATACTGAATAACTGGCATAAGCTTCATACATGATACAATCTTGCCTTAACAGAAGCAGAAGAGGACAAAATGACACTCCTTTCAGAGATCCCTGATGTAATGTTTCCTGACGATGAAAACTGTGGTCCAATTCGAACTTTGTGTTTCTTATCCCAAATAACGTCGTCAAGAAACGACAGCGCTGTGAAGACAACACCAGTATACATTAATTTATGAACAGGAACACTGTGGAACAATACTGGATTCCCTGAAAAGATAGTTTCCAACGGCGTCAAATCTCCCACCCTCATCAACTTCATCTGCAGTGACACTTTGTCTCTGCAAAATCAGTTCCAGAAACCATGCTGCCTTTAGCTATTCGAATTGCTCCCATGCTTACCTTCTTTATGCTACATTTATGTGTATATGTTCTAAAAGTGTACGTACAACTGTTACGATTTTTTTTATCATTTATAATTACTATCTAAACCGGTTCTGTCACGACTTAAAAAAATATCAGGTCTAACCTACGGACTATTTGAACTGTTCATTGGCATATGAAATAATCCTATTAGATAAGGTAAATCTGCATTTCCTCCGAGTTTAATTGCATCAGCTCAAATATTGTCTGATACCGTGTCCGTACCATTTTTAAATTATTTTATTTCTTTACGCCCACTTGCTTTTACGTTTTTTGGATTTGAGTACGATGTATGAACGTTCTGATGAGTGCAAATTAGTTCATTGAAGTCATGATAATGATCAAAGCGTTCTTGTTAAAACTTGCAATCTCGCATGAGGCAAAACGCGCGCGAGGTAGAGGACATCGGGTGGCGAACTGGAACCGACACCAGCTTGCAGGAACCGGTTCTCGTTATTCAATTACCGATCTGCATGCGCGCGCGCAGTGCCACGCCGCGCTGTGGGTCCCTGCGTCTCGCCCGGGCTCTCCGTGTACAACTGCGAGCCTTGCGCACACGCACGAACATTGACTCTCGTCTCGCCTTTCGTCTCGCCTCGCGCCTCGCGCCTCGCGCCTCGCCCCCGCTCCACGCCCATCGCCCATCGCCTCTTGCCTCTTGCCTCTTGCCTCTTGCCCTTTGCCCCTTGCCCAACATCTCGCCTCATGCCTTGCCTCACATCTCGTCTCGCCCCTAAGCTCGCCTCTCCTCACGCTTCCCGACCGCTTTTCGACTTCCCTCTCGCCTCGTCTCTGGCCTCATTTCTCGGCACGCTTGTCGCCAAGCCTCTGCTCTTGCCTCTCTTCTCGCCTATTGACCCTCGCCTTCCGCTTCTTTCCCTTTGCAACTTGCCCCTTACCCCTCGCCCCCACGCCACCCGCTCCCCGCTCCAC